TGATGGTGTGAAGTGAGCTAAATCTGACCCTGAAGATGAGACCCGAGTTAAATCTGACCCTGAAGATGAGACCCAAGTTAAATCTGACCCTGAAGAGGAGACCTGAGCTAAATCTGACCCTGAAGATGAGACCCGAGCTGCACGAAAAGGCAGAACGAGCTGAAGAAGTGGAACCATGAGGTTTGTGAAGAGTCCATCATCCAGTGACCCCAGAACTTAAAACAGGTTTTAATCTTCCTAACCTTCAAATCATCGTCTTCCTTCAGTGAAAACAGTTTTTCAACGAGGAAGCCTCTGCTGAACAACAATATGTGCAGCGTAGATCAGCTCGGACACCAAGGTCTCGACCACCTGAGTGGGTCGTTATGGAGCTGATGTGAATCAGCGTACCGCAGGACCTGGTTGGTCATTCCGTTCAGCGCAAAAAGGCAGGACTTCCTGCTCCTGCTGATTTTGGCTCCGAGGTTCACAGCTGCAGTTCCAACCATCCACTGAATCCTAAAAGATGGAGGTCAGAGCTGAGGATCTCTGCTGTTGGGCCGGTGGTTAGAGCCCCAGACGACAACTTCCCAGCTGATGAAACTCTAAACCCAAAGATCTGAAGATCTGAAGACAGTTTTAGTTCCTGTTCTGTAGCTGATGGATCGTTTTGCTCTCAGACTGAAAGTTTATTTAGATTCTAGAGTTTTAGAAGTAAAACGGGTCAGAAACTCCTGTAAATCTGGACCATCTGCACTGACTTTTAAAAACTAAAAGTCAACACTGAACAGCAATAAAACCAGGCTGAAGCGCTCCAGGGTCAATCTGATTGGCTCTATGGTGTCACATGACTCGTCACATGACTTCCTATGATGAGTCAGGGTTAAGATGAGGGATGTGTCGTCGCTCAGCCACTCACTGACAAACACTCGCTGCTCTCCGCTCAGGACGGGCGCACTTACACACAGTCAGAGATGGGGGTTGATGGAGAGTCGGGATGGCGCGTGGTGATGACATCACAGACCGCAGGCCGACTACCCGCCCGGTCCCGGCCTGCAGGGGATGAGCCAACGGATACAAGACAACAACAGAGAGGTCAGATGGGTCACACAGATGGAGCAGGCTGCCGGGTCAGAACCAGACATTTCACATCTTTATATGAACAAAGTGAAGCTTCTGAGAACAGGCGAGCCACATTTACATCAAAGAGTCGAGGAAGGAGGCGGAGCATCAACTTTACACAAAGTAAACAAACTGGACCTCTGGTGTTCTGGGTCAGAGCATCACAGACCCGGTTCTGTTCAGTCTCATGGAGCTGGAAGCCAAAATACTTCATGTTACTGTGAGAGGTGGATGGGAACCAGATTGAACCGCTCAGAGTTCATCCCCCTCCCCTCAGCTGTATAATCATCTCTGAGTTCATCAGGGTCAGCAGCCTGACCACACCCATCATTCATCCATCCGTCATCTGTTAACCATCATCTATCCATCATCCATCCATCTTTATCCATCACCCA